GATGGACACAGTCCATCTGCGATTTTAACCCTGAAAAGCCCCTATATATACAAAAAAAAATTCAATCCACCTGCGAATGTACAAGTGGCTAAAGCACATTTGTGCTTTAGCCACTTGTACATTCGTAGATGGAATAGTCAAATCGCAGATGGACCATTTCCATCTGCGATTTTGAAGGCCATTTTTGCAATATCGATTTTTTTTGGCTATTTTCCGCAAAGTGATTAGGAAATTTGGCTATTTTTGTCATTTTCTCTATATAATATAATAATTATAAAAAAAAAAACCATTCATCTCCTTAACATAATTCAACAAATACGTCGTTTTGCTCATTAACCATTTAAAAACCATTTGAAACGTGAAATTTTGAATCGGTAAGAACAAACACGCAAATGACAGGGGGCAATTTAGGGTTGATGTAGTTGAGAAATTTCCTCAAATAAGTGCCAAATCAAGACGATGGCCGCCATTAACGTCCTCCCCTAAGCAAATTTCATACTCAATTCTTCCTCTGTCCCTGTAACTTATTCTTTCTGTCTTCACCACGTTTACCTTCTTTATCCCATCACGTCTCCAATTCCTCGTCAGTTCAATTCAATTCAGTACGGATCAACCTCTCTTTGATTTTGAAGGTGATAAGTTTTCCAACTTTCATGAACTTATGGGATCCGCTTATTGATTACATGATATTTCCAATCGATAGAGACATACAAGGGGATCGAAGAACTAGTTGACAGAAGGCAAGAAACAATGAACAAGATAGAAAGATCGCATCAGATGTACAGAGATGGTAACTATGAAGAAGCGCTTGAATTTTATACAGAAGCTCTTTCGATTGCCAAGACAAACCCTCAGAAGATCGCCCTTCATAGCAATCGAGCCGCCTGTTTTCTCAAACTCCACCACTTTAAAAAGGTACTTTTATCATTTTCTTTTTAGCATGCAATATCTAGTATCAAAAGCTAATTTACCTTTTTTCCGGTGTTAATTTGAGTTCCAAGACACAATCTATCAAATTTTTGAGCGAATTGATGAATTATCATCGATTGTTTGTTAACTATTGATTGTTGATTAAAGTTTTTGGTTATCAATTTAGGCAGCAGAGGAATGTACTTCAGTGCTTGAGCTTGATCATGAGCATACAGGAGCCTTAATGTTGAGAGCTCAAACATTGGTCACCCTTAAAGAGTACCACTCTGCACTCTTTGATGTAAACAGGCTGATTGAGTTAAATCCTTCATCAGAAGTATATCAAAATCTTGAAGCCCGCTTAAAGACACAATTGGTACTCCCTCCATACAACATTTCCTGATCATTTTCTCTGCTTTTTTGAGAATATTGTAGGTAGAAGTTTTACCGATTTATCTAAAACGGGTCTATTTGGGTTATATATTTTAGGGCAGAATATCAAAAAGTGTTTGTACATTCACCATGTTATCAATTTAGCTAATTAACTATTTTATTTAGTGATCAAACCATTATATGTTTTTTTTTACAGTTTAAACTTTAAAGATACCATTTTTCTCTATTATCTGGATTTCATATTAGGGCAAAATACAAAAAAGCATATGTTAGCTTCTCAATTGTTGTTATTTATTGATTTAGCCACTGAATTATTATTATAATGATCATAAATAATAATAGTTCGGTGGCTGAATCAAGAAATTGGTGAAAAGTACACTTTTTTTTTGTGTTGGACAGATAAAAATGGGTAAATTTAAGAAACTTAGTTTTAAAGAAACGATTTAAAGCATTAAATTTTTGTATATTTTTGGTCAAGGAAAGTCTCTTGCTCCAATACCCGAGCTAGAAGAAGAAGAAGAAGAAGAAGATAATGAAGAAGATGAACAGTCTACTTCAGTAGAAATAGCAGAAAATGATATTGATGACACAAAGGGACATGAGCCCGATACTGCGGTAAGCAATCTTGAAAATGTGGAAATTACCATTACGCCCTCTCAAACGCAAAGCCTGAAAGAGGAAATTCCAAAACCGAAAGGGCATTCGCGTCTTGATTATTCAAGATGGGATAAAGTTGAAGATGATAGTAGTGAAGAGGATGAAGATGATGATGAAGATTCTCAACCTCAGTATCGTTTTCGTGTAAAAAATATTGGTGTAAGGTCCGTAAAGTAGATAACATTATAATGAACCTTAGTATATTACTATTATACCCCTGGGCCACGGCCCCACATACGAAAGGGGTTGGAGATGATACGTTTGTACAGTTTGGTTGGTAAGCAGGGTGAATGGTTCAAACGGTGTAGAATATACTATTTGATTGAAGATGAAAGAGTGGCTGGAAACGGGTCCCTTTACCATAAAATTTGTTTTTTATTTTTTATTTTTTATTTTTTATTTTGTGTACATGTGGAGTATGATGTGGGAAGAATATACTTATGAAGCAGAAAACTTGAAAAATAAAAAGATACCAGAACTTCTATGATGATAGAATTTATCAGTAGTGTCATTGTATGCCATTGCTGGGTAATCATGTGAGCAAGTTATATTATGGGGCACACTTGTGACTGCGAAAACCAATCATACATACAGTCAAAATGTCTCTTATGTCTCCTTCGTCTAAACTATCTTGAACCACAGTAGCACTGCCACCTTTGCTTGTTTTTGACTTACTGTTTTCTTTTCTTTATTGCGGACAATCTCTTTTAGTATGCCCTTGTTTTTTTAGATTTTTTTTAGATTAGGTAGCATTTAACCTTGGATGAAGCTTTAGGCTTGGAACATGACTCCCCTTGTTTCCACCCTCTTCATCTTGTGTTTTTTTCCTGCCTACAAGCTGACATGAAACCAAACTAGAACCATCTTTGCTACAAGAGACCTTACGTTTTAGTTCCTTAAACAAAATGACATCCTTCATATCACTGACAATAATTGTTGTTCTATCATACGAAATGGTATAATGATATACTCATCTGAATTGGGTACAGAAGACAACAAAATAAGGGGTTGATCTGCATCTTCAATTTTAACCTCAACCCCTTCTAAATCATAAATAATATGATTAAAATTATCCAGATTATCTTTTACCTGTTTTATCATTCGGACAATATACAAACATGGCTTCTGATACAACCGACTTGTGAGAGAGTTATTGATATTTATCGCAAAGTTTCTTCTGTAGTCTATCAGCAGTCATTTGATCCACAACCTTGCACAACACTTCCTCACTCATACGTCACAGAGTTGATCTATGCACTTTTTCTAAAGTTTTATTCCGCAAGTTTCACCGAAGTTTGTTTGACATTTGTCTGAAGTGTTTAACTTGTTTTATTGTTATCCCAACAAACTGGTATTAGAGCTATGGTTGAAGATAAGAGAGTTAAGATCGACAAATTCAATGGTCAAGATTTCGGTTTCTGGAAAATGCAAATCGAATACTACATCTACCAAAAGAAGTTAAATGAACCATTGTTTGAAAGTAAACCTGTAGACATGAAGCAGGAAGATTAGGAACTGTTAGATCGGTAGGCACTTTGTGTGGTGAGATTATCCTTGGCAAAGAATGTAGCGTATAATATTGCCAATGTAAAGACTACTCGTGGGTTGATCAAGGTGTTATCTAACATGTATGAAACCCCCCCAGCAGCAAATAAGGTTTATTTGATTCGGCAATTAGTAAATTTGAAGATGAAGGAGGGTGGCTCAGTGACCGATCATGTTAATGAATTTAATTCAATCCTATCAAGGTTGATGTCGGTTGAGATTAAATTTGAAGATGAAGTCATGACATTTCTACTTTTGTCATCTTTGCCTTATAGTTGGTCTGGTATAGTGATAAGGGTTAGCAACTCAGCATGAAATTTGTGATTTAATCCTTGGTAAGGATGTATGCAGACGAAGTGCTAAAGAAGCTTCCAATAGTCTTCTGAGTACTGAAGAAAATAAGGAGTCCAACAGAGGGTTTGGAGGTAGTGGAAGGTCAAAATCGAGAACAAGATGTGGACAGAACATGGGGGATGTTACCTGTTGGAACTGCAAAGAGAGTGGTCATGTCAAAAGTCAGTGTCCAATGCTCATTGCAGATAAAGGCCAAAAAGAGATGAATATGGCATCAAAATTTGAAGATGGCGCGCTCAAACTCAATAGAATCTTGGGTCTTGGATTTTGGTGCGTTATTTTACGCATCATTCCAGAAATGTAAAGCAGAACTTCAAGCATTGCAAAGGGAAGGCCAGACTGGCAGATAACAAGTGTCTAAGTATCAAGTGTGTCGAAGATGTGGTTCTCAAGACGACCCTAGGTACATATTGGACTTTAAAAAATGTCAAGTTCTTTCCAGACCTAAAGAGCATGTTGATATATGTTGAGCAACTTGATAATGAAGGCCATCATGTTACGTTTGGCGATCACAAGTGGAAAGTGAAGAAGGAAAACTTGATTGTTGCTAAGGGTCAGAAACAAGGTACATTGTATATGGTGGAATTTTCTGAAGATGGAGCACGCGTTGTTGAATGAGTTGGGACATCCACTCTATGTTAACAAATATTTTTTTTTCATATGAGTGAGGAAGCTTGTATCCAAATGGAGAATGCCAGATCCGAAGATTGTGACAAATGCTTCTAAGCCATGTTCTATTGGCAGACAGAAGAAAGTCAGTTTTGTGGAGATAGGAAATCCGCCTAAGTTTGGGAAGCCGGGTTCTGTTCATTCTGGTGTTTACAATCCTACTTTAGTTTATTTAGTGGGAAGATCCCGGAATCAACCAAGACCTATCACTGGTCAAAGGATAGGAAGATGTCTAGGAAGCAGTGGGAGATCAGATAAATCTGGAAAGTGTAACGTCCCGAAAATCAAAGGTAAAATTTGCATTTTTAAGACAATAATTTATATAACAAATTGTTCTTAAAACCATTCAAGATAAAAATAGCATTTAAACATTAGAGCGCAAATTATTTCAATTGTGGAAACCATGAGGGGAGGATGTTGTGCCATCATGTCGAGCCCTTCACTTTCGAATCGGAAGTGCCTAAAACCATAAACATTAACTGTAAACACAAAGCTTAGTGATCTCCCTAAAATAACACATACCATACATAAGAAAGTGAATGCTATGGGCCAAATCATAGTCTTACAATCATTTTATGCCATGGGCCAAATCTTGGTCCTCCCTTGCAATGCCGAGGGCCAAATCCCAGTCTTTCATACAATTGTCAGGGGCCAGATCCTGGTCTTTCATACAATTGTCACAGAGACAAATAACATTCTATACAACAAAGTAATGGGCCGACATTGATGCCTTCGACCCATGGATCTAGTGAGGAGACTCACCTCAATCAGAAGATAGCAAAACTCACGCCCAGGTTTGCTATACAACGGATCCTCATAAATGGTCCAAAAGCTCTACAAGAAGGTGAGGTTGAAGCTGGATTGCCAAGAGATTGCTCTACCAAGGTCAATGAGCCAAAAACCACCAAAAAGTGATTCAATGTCACCAAAAATGGCTAAGGACCTCAAGCAATGTCGAGATTAGGGTTTCCAAGAGGCAAGAGAGTGAGGGAGGCTAAGGATGGGAAACCCTAGACCTCTCATTCCATTAAATACCCGAAATAATAGGGTTTTGGTCATCATGTCGTTCTCACGTCGTGAGCATCCAAAGTCTCATGTCGTGAGACTCAAAAATATAGGTCAACAAGTCATTGTTCACTTACGAGGTGACCACCAAGTCTCACGTCGTGACCCTCCTCCAAAGCTATAAATTGATAAGTAAGTACCTCAATGATCTGGGTGTTACAATTCTCCCCCACTAGAATCAGACTTCGTCCCCGAAGTCGGCCGCCGCAAATAACTCGAGATAATGCTGTCTCATCTCCTCCTCAGGATCCTACGTCCACTATGAACCCTTTCGGTGCAGCCACTGCACCTTCATTAAACCTACCACCTTGTTTCGCAAGGTCTTCATCTTCTGGTTGAGGATCGCCACCGGTCTCTCAATGTAATTCATGCGCTCATCCAACTGAATACCTTCCAGAGGAACAACTACAGATTCATCAGCCACACACTTTTGAAGCTGTGATACATAGAAGGTGTTATGGATCTGACAGAGCTCATCAGGAAAATCCAACCGGTATGCGACCCTGCCCACCTGGTCTGATATCATGAAAGGACCAATGAATCTGGGGACCAGCTTGCCCCCTTCCGAAATCGGATGACAACCCTCGAGGGTGACACCTTCAGAAGCACCAAATCTCCCACCTAAAACTCAAGTTTCGAACGTCGCCGGTTGGCATAACTCTTATGTCGACTTTGCGCGACTCGCAGCCTATCACGCACCTGCTGAATCAACTACGTGGTCTTGAGTACCACCTTGGTACTCCCCATGACTCGATGTCCGACATCCCCTGTAACAAACCGGGGTCCTGCACCTTCTCCCATACAACATCTCAAAAGGTTGTCGGTCAATACTGGCATGATAACTATTGTTGTAGGAGAACCCGGCCACAGGAAGGTAAGTATCCCAACTCCCTCCAAAATCTAGTACACAAGCCCAGAGCATATCTTCGAGTATCAGAATCGTCTGCTCACTTTGGCCGTCAGTCTGAGGATGGTTGGAGACTCACCTACTGGCCTTAACATAAGTCACACACTAACGACGAACGACTCCTTGCTCCCGTTGACCTTAACTAATAAAGGACAACTATCATTACTCAGCTCAAATCCATGAATCCAATACCTTATCTGACTTCCCAACATACAAAACCTATTCTGAATCATAGCCAAAATGGCTCCATTTTGCAATCGAATCCAAATGAAATCCTTACAACCCTAAATTATCCTGCTGACCAACATTCGCATTTTCGATCTATCCAAGATATTTTGAGCTCCAGGCTAATCTACCAATTATCTGAAACGTCGGATTTCCGATCGGTCGCTGAAACTGACATCCTTTCAAACGACTGCACCACGAGACTCTATCCAAGAATTTTTCTGGAAAAGCTACTCTAACCTACTTGTATAAAAGGCTTCAACAACACTCATAATCCAACCAAGGATATCATAACCAAACATCACACTGATACAACGTAACCTACATCACGACTGGCCTCATACGGTCCTGAACCTTCCTTGATTCCACGAATGATGTGGCCTTCCTACAATATCACTACCCATCCTACCAAGGTCAAATACCACTTAGAGGGAGCTGTGAGCCGAATCATAGATTCACCACACTCTCAGAGCTGCTCATGGACCAGGTGAATGCTACCAGTCACCCCACAGTCTTACAACACTTCTACCACTACTTGTCATCCTAGTGAATGCTACGGTCACCCCGTAATCTTACAACATTTCTATCACTATCTTCTAACCTAATGAATGTTACGGCCACCCTGCAGTCTTATAACATTTCTATCACTACCTGTCAACCTAGTGAATGTTACGGCCACCCCCCAGTCTTACAATACTTCTATCACTACCTGCC